AGATAAGTTCCAAGGAATTGAAGCTGCATATGGACGAGTGGATGGTGTAATCAGAACAGCTACAGGTTATTGTGGAGGAACCCTGAAAAGGCCCACTTTCAAAGAGGTGAAAAATCCAAAATTAAATTTTACGAGCCTAACATGTTAAATAAAATAAATACTATTGTGGTTTATTATTATTATTATTATTATTATTATTATTATTATTTTTGCTGAATTTATTAGCATTTGTTTTGTTTTTGTTGCTTTTTGTGTAAAGGGGTGTCCTTGCTTTGAGCTGACTTAAGGAGCAAGGGCTAGTTTTTGCTACTGATCTAACCCCTTTTGTTAAGATTTTTTTTTTAATTTTGTCGTTTTTTGCTTTAGTTAATGTTTGGTCTGTTTGTTGAGTGAATGGAGATTGAATTGGTTATTTTGGTTTGATGATGATGAAGACCCTTTCTGAGCTGTAACTGTTGTATTATTTCTTAGTTGCTTTTAATATATATGATAATTACCAATTTGCCATGTCTTGATGGGATTCATGAGCTGAATTTTACGCCTTAGATATTGTTGTTGTAGATTTTAAAATGTTGTCCAAGTGCCATAGACTTTCATATCTATTCCAATTTTGTTTCTGTTGTCCATGTGTTGATTGATACCACGATTCTGCTTGAGTCAAAGTGGAAAATGAGATGGGAATCTGGGATAATTCCTCTGGTATCTCTGTGTGCTCAGGTGATATTGGTGCTGTTAATAGCATAGTTTTTGGTATTTTAAAACTCAATTACGGGGGAGTACAATCAATGTATATGTTGTGGATGGTATATTAAAATCTGGGGTTTCATTAGGTGTTCACTTTTGTCATCCATGGGACATAGATTTTCTGTTATCAATGGTGTGAGGAACATTATTATTATTTTGTTTCATTCAGTGCTGCTGTAAATGCGGAGACGGGCGAGGAAGTCGCCATTAAGAAGGTTGGCAATGCATTTGACAACAGAATAGATGCCAAAAGGACCTTACGTGAAATTAAGCTTCTTCGGCACATGGACCATGCAAATGTAAGTTTGGTACCTTTTTTCATGCACTCTGACATCTACACCTTGTTTTGCTCAATGTTATCATTTATTTTCATCTGAGGCAATGAATTTTCCTATTTGGCCTATTATTTCTTCATTTCTTTGTTCCTTTCCCTATTTTCTGTTGCATCTGTAAATGCTTTGATCTGTAATAATGTAATTTTGCTTATTGAACAAATGACATAGTGCAACATCCTGCGGTGTGATGCACAATTATGGTTTTTTGTTTATTATACAAGATATTTGTTTTTTGATGTGTAGATTTGTGCTCTGTTGGGCTTAAAATTTAACATGCTAAGCAACCTACTCAATGCTAATGTCTATCTCCATATTCTCACAATCCCAATTTAGCATAGTCAAACATGTTTTTGAATAGCCTATCGGAAAAGGATTTTTTTTTTTTTGTTGTTGAATAAAGTAAAATATATCATAAAACATATCACATTGTGTTTTTTGAGTAGGACTTTCATGATATTATTGCTCAAATTCAAATATGTTGTTTGTGCTCGAAAGCAGATTGTGATTAGCTTTATATGACAAATTTCCGTTATTAAAGTCAGATTATGGTAAATCTTTTTATCTTAGTGATAGAAAATATTGATCTACTTGTTAGTAAATCTCTTGCTATACTTGTCTCTGATTCATGAAAGGTGCTTGATTGGATATTCCTCATTAGATTTTGATTTTAAAATCTTCATTAGCATTCAACTCGCAAAGTGGCTGACAATTTACTTATCAATTATTTCTCTAATGTAGATTATGTCCATTAAAGATATTATACGACCTCCACAGAAGGAAAACTTCAATGATGTATACATGGTTTCTGAGTTAATGGACACGGATCTGCATCAAATAATACGTTCCAATCAACCATTGACTGATGATCATTGTCGGGTTAGCACTTTAACTACTTTTAGCATGTGACTTTTAATATACCTAGTTGAAAGACTTTATATAAAGCACCGATACTTCAATTTGCTTCACGTATCCGTATCCGATACGTATTCGACACGATACTCTTGGATACTTCACCGATACTTGTCAATGAAGTATCCTAACTTTTGAAAATATTATGAAAATCTTATTCAATCCCGATACTTTCAGATACTTCACCGATACTTATTGGTGATATGTATCGATAAAGTGTTCAAATTTTGAAAAATTATGAAATATCCATTGCAACTAAATAAGATATATAAACATTTTTAATATAAAAACATAGAAATATTGGTCCTTGATAAACTGTAAATGAAAATTGTCTTCTACATAGATAATTTTAAGAAATGAATGAAATTTGTAATATTATTTCTATTTGTAAATAATAAAAAGTAATTTATGATGAAATGGTTTATGATTATTTTTAGTAATGTACAATAAGTATGTTTTTAATTTGGATTTGCAAAATAGCAATTATATATTTAATGTTTATGAATTTTGATCAAAATTACAAGTACACAATTATTATATTGTATGAACATTGATATATATAACGACACGTATCTTACAAGTATCGTATCCTATATATTTTAAAATAATCGTATCGCCGTATCAGATACGTGTCGTATCCGATACACGTATTGTATCGGTGCATCATATTATAGCTAACGACTTGGTTAATGTATTCTCCTTTGGTAGTATTGTTGCACAAACTAAAGATAAAAGCAAAAATAATGGGATTGAGTATATATGATTAGTATACATCTCAGTGGTCTCAAGTGTGCAGTATTTCACACTTGTCATGCAGTTCCATCTGAGTTTGATAGGCATGTCTTTCACCTTTACTGGCAATCTAAAATAGTGTTTTGCATGCAGTTTTGCAACAGCAACAATAGTGTATAATATGAATTGGCATTGCTCTTACTTTCTGCAAAGTTTTACTTCCAAAATCATGTCAATGGTGTAAATAAATTTATCCACTGTGTCACTACAATGATACATATCTTCTGTTAGTCAGGATTTGAACAATCACTTTTGGCTTACTGCATTACTCCTTTTCCTTTGTATTTAAAGTTTATATAGTAGTGACTCTCTAAAGTGTTGACCTAATATTAACTTTTGACTTAAATTTTTTTTTAATTGTTACAAAATAAGTTTTGATTTTAGTTCCTATAAAATTTCTGTGTTTCAACTCACTAAAATTTAGAACTATTTTTTTTAGTTCTTATTATTGTGTAATCATTTTTAACTACTTATTTGTTTATTAAAAGGTTAACTATGCAGCTATGGTATTATCCACAACTGTTAGTATATCATGTTTATTAAACATGTGAGACAACTTCTAGAATTTTTTATAGGTCCTTAAAATAAATTTTATTTATCTACCTTAAAATAATTAGGGATCAAAAATAGTGATTTTATATTTTAGATGGATGGAAATGAAAAAAAAATATTTTGAAGGGACCAAGACCCAATTTACTCATTTTACAAGGACTAAAAACAAGTTTACAAATTTTAGAAGGATGAAAGGCAAAGAAAAAAATTTATAGGGACCAAAATCAAAACTCCCTCATTTTTCAAGGATTTAAAAACATATTTAAGCCTTAACTTATATTTGAGAAATTCTTTGCATACACACATTTTCTACCTTGTTTTTTGTTCTTAATTCTTGTTACATCATTCCATTGTTATTAATAAAATTCAATCATTAGAAGGATTATGCTTTGGGTATCATCGATGTTAATATTTATGAACAAAACTTTGTTCTCCAGTTATTTGGAAAACAAACATAATATCAATGTGTGCTGAATTTGTATAGTGTTGTTCACATCCTCTACAACAGACAATTTAAAATATTTTAATATGAACTGGCTTTACAATTTACGTATATACCTTGGACTTTACTCAGTAATTTTAGTCTTTTTGTTTGGAATTAAATTGATAAGTGTCATTCATGGATTCGTGTATCAACTAACTAGAGATAAAATGTAATTATACTTGGGAACATCCTAAAGAGCCTGGAACTTTGGAGACCAGATGAAGCTCAGTTTGTGTACTAGGTGAAGTTGGTCTTCTATCTCACTTGTGGGGTCCACACCATCTTTTACACTGCATGCACTTCTTGTGGTCTACAAGGCTTCAGGCTTTGTAGCATAATTCTTATATTTTCTTTCTTACAGGCACTCATAACATTGTTTTTTCTCCCAGTATTTTATGTATCAATTGTTACGAGGGCTCAAATATGTACATTCAGCAAATGTTTTGCACCGTGACTTAAAGCCTAGCAATTTGCTATTGAATGCCAATTGTGACCTTAAGATTGCAGACTTTGGTCTTGCTAGAACTACATCTGAAACTGATTTTATGACTGAGTATGTGGTCACTCGATGGTACCGAGCTCCCGAATTGCTTCTTAATTGTTCAGAATATACAGCAGCCATTGATATATGGTCTGTTGGTTGCATACTTGGTGAAATCATAACAAGACAACCGCTCTTTCCTGGCAAAGATTATGTTCATCAGCTGAGACTGATCACAGAGGTATTAACTTAATATCAGACTCCTGAATTTCTCACACAAATCTACTGAGACCAGTTATGTTCCTGTCTATTTGTATTTATTTTCCTCCTTTTGGGTGTCAAGTTTACTAAAATGCTTTTTAACTTTAGGGTTATTAGCAATTTAACATCAATATGACCTCTTGTTAATCTTGCCACTTCAAGAGTCAGAAATATATTTCCTAATGAAGGGGGTAAATGTAAATGGGAATGATGTTTCCTTCCGAAAGGAGGATGTTTAAATTTTAATGGAACTAGATATTTGGAGATTTACTAGAGTAAGAGATGCAGAAGACTTTGAATTCTCGTTCATATGCACCTTGTAGTGCTGGACAGTTGAAGCCATGGAATTCAATTGATCTAAATTATGGAATTGATGAGAGAATTAAGGATATAAAAGGCTCACTTAGGATATGCAGGGAAGAGCTGTCTTGCAAGGGAAAAGATGAGGATTCAAGGGTCAATAAGTGCTATAAAAAATGTCTCGTTGGTGAGGAATTGGGGTTTGATTTAATTTGGGTAAAATTCAATGAAAAACCATTTATGGTTTTGAAGGGTTGAAGTTTTTAATGATGTCTGCCAAATGATTCAGGTCTGGTGGCATATGAAAAAAATTTAAAAAAAAAATAGATATGAAAAGAAAGTAAGAAGCTGTGCACCACTCCTTGTGTCACTTAAACATCATGCCCAAGAGAGAGATGCATCACATTAGTTAAATTTTGCATCTTTATCCTTTTGTGTTGTCTTATGGATGTTACAACTTGTATCAGTGTCTAAATGGAAAACTACGAACTTGAGTCCATTTTTGAAGTTTAAAAAAATTAAGTACTTAGTTTTTATTTAGGAAAAAATTTAGATACAATTTCATAGATATAGTTAGTGTTATTCTCCAATCAGAATAGAAGTTTTATTTCGATAATATGCATTTACTTTTAATGCATGTCTCATCTCAATAATATGCATTTATGCATATTACTTAGGTAAAACTTCAATTATATTAGAGAACTACACCAACCATACCTAAGAAATTGTATCTAAGTTTTGTCCATTTATTTATGGGACATGATGTGTGGTCCATGGCAGTTAATTAAATTAATAATACTTACATGGTCATTGACTAATTGTGTGGTAGCTTGCTGCCAACCCACATTTGCAAGCAATAGATTCAGATTATGGGGTTTCCTGGTGGAATGCAAATTCTCAATATTTGATTTTCAAATCTCCTTTTGATTTAAAATTAACTACAGCATGACAAATTTCCTTTCTTTCAAAAAGCTGATAGGATCACCTGATGATGCCAGCCTTGGATTTCTACGAAGTGATAACGCTCGTAGATATGTAAATCAGCTTCCTCAATATCCAAAGCAAAACTTTTCTGCTAGATTTCCCAACATGTCTCCTGGTGCAGTTGATTTGCTAGAGAAGATGCTAATCTTTGATCCAAACAGGCGTATTACAGGTAAAACAGCATGCATAACTTTTTTTCCCAGTTTTATTGAATAGGTACAATTTATTATTCGTGGAGCTGTATATTAATTGGAATGATATGGGGACAGCTATTGATGTGAAAGATAAGTTATGACAACTAACAACTTAAGCACCAACTAAAAATTTGCTATAATTTTTTTTCTAATTTTGTTTTGAAGTCACCCTTAGTAAGTCTGTATACTATATAGTGTTTACCTTGGGCTCCAATGGTTTCTTAGTTTAGGACAACCCGATCAATGACAAGTTTGTTTTTGGTTAATTAGTGTGTCCTGTGGGACTTGAGTCCCTCATTGGAAGTATGAAATTCTACTATGGGTTTTCTGAGACCTTAGGCTCTGCTACTACAATAACTAGCTTTTGTAGTGTGGTTCCTCCCAAAGTTCTTATCATAACATTAGTGTAAAGTCCAACCGGTTTTGTGAATTCATTAAAACTCTAATCTTTTCTCAGGTTTCTTCATGATATATATGTGATTTTTTAGCTTTAATAAATAAAATTTTGACAGTCATCTTATTTATTAATATGATGAGTTGATACGTGATTTTTCAAGTCATTGCGAAATATTTATTGATTTTGATGATAATTAATTGATACCGTGATTTCTTATTGAAATGTGTGTATAAATATTTTACTCTTGTATAAATTACGGAGAAAAAAAAGATATGCGCTGATATTATGAGTCCTTTTATGTTGTCATCCCATCATATTGTTGACTTTAATAATAATTACACTAAAAGTCACATTAAAGCTTATTTTTAATTGGTTCAAAATGTAAAATCATTTATATTATCGTTGTATGTCCACTAAACTATATAAGTATTGGGATTCTCTTTTGTCTATATTTTTATTAATTATACCCTAATTCTTAATTCTTTTCAGTTGATGAGGCGCTGTGCCACCCATACATGGCACCTCTCCATGACATCAATGAGGAACCTGTTTGCACTAGACCTTTTAGTTTTGACTTTGAGCAACCTTCATTCACTGAAGAAGATATCAAGGAACTCATTTGGAGAGAATCTGTGAAGTTCAATCCTGATCCACCAGTCTACTGAGATTTTGTATTTATGTTGTATATGCTTACCGAAATATCTGATGACTAATATGCATGTTATGACGCTACTTGGCAAGTTGCAGCGATATGAAACAAATTGGAGATAGTGAGATTCTCTGAGCTTGTTGTGAGGTTTCTTTCATTTCAGTCGCATCGCATATTCTTGGATAATCATGTTGTTGAGATGTACCGAGAAAGGATCAGAATATGAGCATCTTAACTCAAATGTTTCAGCAGAATATCCTACAGCCCCAACTCCTTGTTGTACTACTATCCTTCATTTTAGACTCTAAGGACCATAGATTAGTGCTCTAAACTGTTCTTGCCAGTTTTTCTATCCTTTACACCAAGAAAATTACACGACATTGTCCCATTGTATGACATAAAATGTAATGGTTTTTAGTATTCAAAATATTTTAAAATATTTCCTGTCAGACATATCTTGCTCTTTACCAAACTTAACTAGAAAAATTTGAATAATTTGACGGGCTCCAAGAAGGATCAAGCCATTTCATAAACTTATAGAGCAAAAAGAAAATTATTTCATTACTATGACATGACAGAAAATTCATTTCTCAACTTGAGTAATGATTTCTGGATAAGATGGGAAAGAGTAGCCTTAAATAAATAAGTATATGACATATCTTAAGTGTAGACTATTTAATCATGCATGTTTAATGCTGTAAGCACACTTCTTAAGCTTCAACGAATCAATTGGTAGATTCTCTTTTGGAAAATCACATGCTTTGATTTTCTCTGGCCCCTGATCTGGCAAGGAATTGCATGGCTTAGGTGTCACCCCGGTTGTGATCCCTTCAATATCAGAGCATGTCCATGGCTGTTTCTTGGCCTTGGCTGCCATGTTAATTGTGACATTGGCAATGCAGATTCCAGTGAAGGGGTCATTAGAGATTCCTTCAAAGGTAGCAGCTATAGTGACATTATCAGCCATCACATCTCTATAGTTGATGCCTTTGATCTGAGGCAAGGCGTTAGGATCATAGTGGCCATCAGCATGGGAACCATAGTTACCAGTCATCCAAAAGGCCCATTTCATGGTATGCATGGTCATTCTCTTGACATATATGTCCTTAACATAGCCTCCCCTCCCAACAGCAGTCTTGATTCTGACACCTGATTCTGTGTTTATGGCTGGGGTGGCCTCAGCTCTCACATCTTGGATTCCACCAGACATCTCACTCCCCAAGGCTATGGCTGCACTGCTTGGGGAAATGCATGTCAGCCGTCTGATCACTAGTTGTTTTGTGGGCCATCCAAACTTTATGCCATACTCATCCCACCCACTTTTCACTGCCACACAGTCATCTCCAGAAACTATGTAGCAGTCTTCAATTCTGGTATTTGTGCAAGAATCTAATGCCAAGTAAAAATGGTGGAAACAAGGAAAGGTAAAATATATCAATCCACTAAATTCCAACCCAGCACTTGTCTCCTATAAGAATTTAGAGATTTAGTTAAGTAATTAGTGATATTGAATTTATCAACAATTCATGTTTTTATATCTAATTACTGTATATCTACTAAAGAGTATTTTTGTAGAGAAGGCACTGAGTAGACAATTTAAAGGAAGATTTATAAGAAGAAAAACTTATAAGTTTTTTTTTTAAAGGACCAAAAGGTAGTAATTTTGAATCCTAATTCTTGAATGAATGTGTTTTTAGAGTTTTTATTTTTTATTGTGTCACACGATTTTTCTTACTTTAAGTATCTATTCTTAAATGACTTTTTGTATCGAGTTTAATCTAAGATGTTTTCTTTAGATAAATTGAATTCTAAGATTATTGTAGTCTTAAAAATTTAATTTTAAAAATTTGACATACCATCTCAATAGAAGTGCTATGTCTAGCTACAGATGACTTTTTTTCTTCTTCATAATTTTCTCCTCAATTTAAAATTTACAATTCTTAAATTTATTTCTAGTAATGAAATAAAATATGTATTATTAATGATGAAAATATTTACTAGTTTTTCAAATTATTTTTATTTATAAACTTTCATTAATATTATTTTATGAACATAATTCACGTAGTATAAAAAAATGAATAATAAAAGACTAATGTGTTTGATTATTTAAATTTAAAATAGTACAAGAAAATATATAAGTGGTATATTAAATTAATATTAACCTTTACATAAAATTAAATGGTGAAAATTAATTCCTTCCACGTTCCATTTCACAAATTGTCACCACATGTACAATCTTCATATACAAGAAATAGTCTTCAGATAAGATGATCACCTGGGTTGATGCCATCAGTGTTTGGAGATGGGACAGGAGCGATGATGGTGAGGCCTTTAATAATAATATTGCTGCGTAGTGTTGCAAAATTTCTTATAATCTTAAAATTGTAATAATTTCAGACGTGTCTTCTGTCACAAAGGTCAAATATAATTTCAAGGCATTCATAACTTTGACTATGACCATATGAGAGGCTAGGATTACCTACTATAAACAGGATGAACATTCCATGATGGAGAATTTAGGAGCGTCAGATTGGAGATTTGAATCTTGTCTGAGAACATAAATTCAATCAGGTACGGGCGAGTGTACTTCAACTTTTTCTTGTGAAATTTCTGCCACCAAAATGCTCCTTGACCGTCTATGGTGCCATTGTCCCCTGTCACACCACAATGGTCATAATTTTGATTCATACTTAGATTAATCAACAAGCACAAACAATAACGACATTTTTTAATCCTTAGTTAATAACATAATGTAATATCAAATTCATAATAAATTTTGAAATATGTGAAGTTGATTTTAAAATTCGTTTCCATTTAAGCAATCATCACACATGATAAAAAAGGGGATGTAGAATGATCATTGTTCATTAGTCACACAGTACATCATTAGCCACTACACAAATGATTAACCATCTGCTCTTTAAATAACTAGATGTCTAATTTGACTCAAAGTGTCTCTTGAGATTCTGTATTGAATAGAAATATTAAATTAAATAATCAACTGAAAAATACGATTCTGAAATGAACAAAGCATAACATGTAATGACAAAAAAAAAGAAAGAATACATTGAATTTAAATCAGAGTAAGTAAACTTTAGCAATATAAATTCAAAGTTTTGATGCGTAGCACATGTTTGCTGAAAAAGGTTCACCAACTCTTAACTACTTGTTTGATAATTGTTTCTTGCAACTTTTTTCATACCTGTGACAATAACATCAGTGAGGTTTGTTCCAAATATGAGGCTGGTGTACCTTCCTGCTGCTGCGTCTCTTCCTCTACCATACGATGGGAGTGGTTCGATCACAGGCCATTCACGAATATCCTAAAATAAATTTATATTTAGTAATTAAAATTAATAAAAAAATAACTTTATTAATGATGTCACACATGAAAGTGCCACATTAAGAACTGTTCCCCAGTAAAAAAAAAGACAGTGTATTGGACCACATTATGGCACTGACAGAAAAGTTTCTTGGAAAAATAGACCAAAACTGCTAGGATGACAAGGTTTTGGGTATTAAAGTTAAAGGTTCATTTCCTATGGAACTCAATTTGTCATCGAGTTTGTGAACAGTTTTAAGTTCATCAAGGGTTCAGGAGTTTGTAAATTGCTTTCATGGGTTAGTTAACAATGCTGCTTTGATAGGCTAGTTTTCTAGTAAGAGTAGGAACCTTGTGACACAATTGAATTTTATTTATTGATCATCTTACCTTATTTGTAACTCAAGTGAATCCCTTTAAAAACGTATATTTCCAATTTCATGAACAAGTAATAAGTCTGTGACAGTAATAAATTATACTATTTTTGTTGTTGCATAGTCCTCAAATTGAATGCTAATCTCATATTTGTGATTACTTACTAAGTCATCAAATGAATGAACAGAAATGAGATAAGATACCTGAGAAGCAAGAAGAACAGCATCTTTGTTTAGATAGAGGGTGAAGTGGCTGCAAAGACTAAAACTCCCTGTAAGCCATTTTCCAGCAGGAACGTAGAGCTGAGCCCCTCCTTTAGAAGCATACTGACTCAGGTGACTGATTGCAGATTGAAAGGCCTTTGTATTTGATGTCTTCCCATCTCCAACACCACCAAAATCTGTCAATGAAGCACTATAACCTCTGCAGTTTATAGCTTTGTACTCAAAGGAAGTCCTAACAGTTTTGCCTTTTCTGCTCTCAGCTACCTCTGAGCTCAGCAGTGTCACCAAAAGAAGACCACAAAATAATCTAATTACCTGTAAAACAAAACACCCCTTAGAAACAAAAAATGTAGAAAATGAAGCAATAAATATAACTATATATATGTGTAGCTTTACAATCTTGTCAAAGGATTTCCCTTATGCTGGAAAAAATTGCAGATATTAAATCAGAATGCTACTTTGAGTTAGAGAAAGAAAGAGGGTCTCACTTGTACCCTCATGTGAGTTTTCCACAAGAGCTCCATCCTAAGAAAAGGCACTTTGGTATTTGTTTGAGGCATATGTGGAGAATGAAGCTATGTTAAGTATTTATAGGGGAAGTTTAGTTATGGCTAACTGGTTCATGAATTTTCAAATTTTAAAAGCAGATGTTTACAGTTTAGGAATTGTTTAACAAAATAAGCCATCAAAATGATTATTTACTCTCTCTCTGTATAAATAAAATTGGTAAATATGCCTATAATCTATACTTTAAAAGTCCCCCAAGTTTGTTAATTCCTAAACAGAAAACATACAAGTCCATGATTATTTGTTATCTTAGGTGCCATGATGTACCAATAGAATGATAGTCGATTTGTTGCGTGCAAGGTTTAAATCTTAGTTGCAACTTCAAACAAGAGTTGTTAATTTTTTCTCCAAATCAATGAGTGGATGTTTATTTTCTTTCCATTTGCTTTGAAGGTTTTGCTTAGTTTGAACCAGTTAAGATAAAGGAGTATTGGAATCAGTGAGCGTTCCTCATCTTTTTAAGTGGACATAAACTCGTTGAAATCATAAATCGTTACGTAACTTACGTTTCTATTATTGATGAAACGCTTGGCATTGAAGTATGTTCAGCATGCAATTCAAGCATTTATATTTACATGAATATACAATTTTCAATTAATGAACATTATGATTTCCTTTCCTCTTTCTTAATTTTCTTTCTCTCCTGCCAGTACATAATTTAAATTTTTAAGTAACGGTATATTTTCTGATAAAATCATCTTAAATTTTAATATTTATTCCTTTATATATAGTATTAAATGGAAAAAAATGTATTTAATATCTAACTTGGGATCATCTACAAATATTTGTACTTTAGAGTCTAATGTGATGTCTGTCCTACACAATCAACAGCAATTTCTGGTCAGAATTGTTTTAGTTTTTATGAGAAAACATGAAATAACATGTTATTTTAAATGTTCATGCGTTGCTCTGTCAAGTTCGTGTCTCATTTTCATTACTGCTGCCGTCA